TGGAAAATGAGTAAGAAATTGAGATTTCCAACTGCCCTTGATGCAATGAACTGTTGGGCTTGTGCATGTTTCATCAAATTATCCTACATCACTTCACCAAAACAAGAAACCAAGTTACTGGTACGGTACCAAAATTTATAAATAAATTAGAGTTAGCTCCATCCACTTGAAGGCAGTTACGACTCAAAAATCTCAGTTATGACTCAATAGGGCTAAATTATGACTCAAAAAAAGAGTTAGAATTGTTTTTGAATAAATTGTATAATCTCTCTTATTTTATGATCACTTTTGTGTCGAGCCTCATAGAGTAATGCTACTATTCTTATCAAATATGTGGGTTCATTAATATTTAATAGAGATGATTCTACTACATTATTCGGGATGAAAAAAATTAGTGTGTGGGTTTATTGAAACTCATATTCTAGACCCTCTTATAATTTTTTAATTCTAATTAAATGTGCCTAACAACCAATTTGATGTGGCATTTGGCCTTTGCTGCATTAAAAATTTGGTATCTTAAGAAGACTGTTTTGTCTTGTATTCAAGAGCGATCTTAGTTTTTGTGTGAATGGTCTGTCTTTGATCTGATCGAAGAAAAGATTAGTTAAGACACGCTTAAATTAATTCGAATACTCCTGACCGTTGAACCTAAAAAAACACCTCTGGCACGTTAAAAGCATTCATTGCTGCTTAAATTATGGCTCGTGGCTCTGGTTTACATATAGTTATATACTTTCCCTCAGACATTTTATTTCCATTTTGTTGTGAGTTCAGATACCTTGTCCTAAGTTAAATAGTTTGGGCTGATTCCCTCTAAAATTAATATTTTGTGTGTCACTCCATTTTATATCTATTATTAGAGTATATACCGCCCTTTTTTTTTTTTTAACCCAAATTTAAATTTAGGTAAAAATAGTCTAAAATGCTTCTCCAATGTTAGATCCTTACTCATATCAAATGAATGAATTTTTTTTTTTAAACTCAAATTTTTAATAGTAAGATTACACCCTCCTTTAAAGATCCAATGATAATATTTTATTCTCTTTTAAATTTATATTTTTCTTCATTTAAATTTATATTTCTCTTCCTTTAAATTTGAGTTTCTCCATTGGAGAGCTCTATACCAAATCAAGTTTTTTATTTTTTTATTTTTACTCAAATTTAAGTAATGGTATGGGTCACCATTGAAGATGGTCTTACAAGTAAAGATTTTTTTTTTTATTTCTAAATTGAACAAAAAAACAAGATTAGAATTTAATATTCAATGTAACGGTGACACTTTGTCTTCAGTTTTATTATTGTCATTTTTTTCTAGATATAAACAAACATAATACCACATAAAAAAATTAAATTATTCGTTGCAGTCTAAAATTTGCATACCATCTAAGTCTAAATTATTTGTTGGACTATAAATACTTAACTTACACTCTTTATATTAGTATAAGTTTTTTGGAGCAAATAATTGTTTAACATAATATTAAAGCAATAGGTCATATATTCTATTATCTTGCTATCCTAATTATTAAAAAGATTTTCGCGTTCTATATCCAAAATATAGCATGTACCTGAAAAGACTTGTTGAAATATAAATATAAATATTTAAATTATATCTTCTTTAACAACTTAAGTTTTTAGAGTAAATAACTATTTAACATAAATTAAATTAATAATTTAGAAGTTAATTTAGGATTCGATGCTTAGCTTTACTCGAGTCTAAGGCCAATCGTTCACTTGGAGGTTGGATAGAAAGTGCAATTCTATTCTTATCAAATTATTTATTAAATTTTATATTTTAAATCAGTGTGGAATACAAAATTTTAAATAAACATTGATAAGATATAATATTTAATAAACGAATTTAGAAAAAACAATTGTGTCTGGACAAAAATTTTGGTTGGTAAACTCAAGCTGACGTGTCGACAAGTAGATACATATTTTTTTTATGAAGATAACAAGATAATTTTCTCAAAATAAAAAATATTTAATTGTTTTGTGCCCGGCGGCGTTGAAGGTGAAATGGATCCACTACTTCTCCGCGTAAGAGTTTGGTAAATTACATTCAAATCGTCTAGGATTTTTCATCGATATGCACAGACCTCTTTACATTTGAATCAACGTCTCATCTTGATGATGTCATCTAGATGATATCATCATATTTTTATACACCTAAAATAACCAGACCAGGTCACCAAGCTCCCACAAAATCCCCCACTTGTGCTTTTCCATCAAAACCCTCCATAAATTCCATAAAACACCCCATTTTTACCAATAATAAATCACTAAATCTCTCCCACCCGTCACTCCCACAACACCGAGCCCTCCCTTCTAACATTGATCTACAACATCAACCCACCAAATACAAAAAACACAACTCAACCTATCAAATTGGCAACACCTCAACCCTCATTTGTGGGGGGAGGAGACGAATAGTCCAAGGAGATTTGCAATATCTCTGAAAGAGATAGAGTGGAAGTGTAGGGGAGACACATAGCAAGGTTTAAAATGACAATTTATGTGGAGGAAATTAACTCTTGGGACATGATCCTCGTGCAGAGGACCATGGAATGGAGGTGGGAGCGTGGGAATAGTGAATCAACTTTTTTGATTGGGTATGGCTCCGACTATTCTCGGAGCTCGCCAATTAGTTAATTATAGATGAGGAGGCAAGCGGGGTGGGGGGCTTCGGGACTTCTTGTAGAGAGAGATAGCGAGANTGATTGGGTATGGCTCCGACTATTCTCGGAGCTCGCCAATTAGTTAATTATAGAGGAGGAGGCAAGCGGGGTGGGGGGCTTCGGGACTTCTTGTAGAGAGAGATAGCGAGAGATGGATCGAAAGAGAAATAATACAAACAATTGGGTACTTCACATAGTTGGTGTATATATAAGTGCAACTAGAGAGAGAAATAGAGGTGGAGATGGTGGTGGTCGTCCATGTAATGGTGCGTTATTGGGGAAAATCAAGTGTAAAATAAGACAATTGGGTTATTTATTGGTTTAGTGTTGTTTGGATATGTGTTGGAAATATTCATTAGTTGAATTAAGTTGTCCAGGCATTAATTTTTTTTTTGGATTCTATGTAAAAATAAATTGATATTTTCGTCAATGTCATATGCAAAACGTTATTAATAGGTGGCTTTACACTAAACTATCATACTTGAGAGAGTCTGTGTTTATTAGTGAAAAACTTTAGAAGGTATAGATGTATTTACCCTAGGAGTTTTCAATTTTCCGAGTGATATATGTACATTTTTGTATTGTCCATTTTGGCTGTGATGTTTGCCCTACCCCATCATATACCTCGTACACTTAAAAAATATACCTGAAAAACATAGTTTTAGTTCAAAAATTTTAAGTCACACCCAATTCTTTTTTTTTTGGGTAAAATTTGGTTTTCACCAAAAGTCTGTTTCACCCATAGGTTATCAGTAATTAGATTTCGTGACACAAATTGTTAATGTGGCGACAAGATAATATCGAAGATACATTCATTTTTTTTTGTAAAATGTTATGAAATCCTTCTANTCCAATGTTAGATCCTTACTCATATCAAATGAATGAATTTTTTTTTTTAAACTCAAATTTTTAATAGTAAGATTACACCCTCCTTTAAAGATCCAATGATAATATTTTATTCTCTTTTAAATTTATATTTTTCTTCATTTAAATTTATATTTCTCTTCCTTTAAATTTGAGTTTCTCCATTGGAGAGCTCTATACCAAATCAAGTTTTTTATTTTTTTATTTTTACTCAAATTTAAGTAATGGTATGGGTCACCATTGAAGATGGTCTTACAAGTAAAGATTTTTTTTTTTATTTCTAAATTGAACAAAAAAACAAGATTAGAATTTAATATTCAATNGAGATGGATCGAAAGAGAAATAATACAAACAATTGGGTACTTCACATAGTTTGTGTATATATAAGTGCAACTAGAGAGAGAAATAGAGGTGGAGATGGTGGTGGTCGTCCATGTAATGGTGCGTTATTGGGGAAAATCAAGTGTAAAATAAGACAATTGGGTTATTTATTGGTTTAGTGTTGTTTGGATATGTGTTGGAAATATTCATTAGTTGAATTAAGTTGTCCAGGCATTAATTTTTTTTTTGGATTCTATGTAAAAATAAATTGATATTTTCGTCAATGTCATATGCAAAACGTTATTAATAGGTGGCTTTACACTAAACTATCATACTTGAGAGAGTCTGTGTTTATTAGTGAAAAACTTTAGAAGGTATAGATGTATTTACCCTAGGAGTTTTCAATTTTCCGAGTGATATATGTACATTTTTGTATTGTCCATTTTGGCTGTGATGTTTGCCCTACCCCATCATATACCTCGTACACTTAAAAAATATACCTGAAAAACATAGTTTTAGTTCAAAAATTTTAAGTCACACCCAATTCTTTTTTTTTTGGGTAAAATTTGGTTTTCACCAAAAGTCTGTTTCACCCATAGGTTATCAGTAATTAGATTTCGTGACACAAATTGTTAATGTGGCGACAAGATAATATCGAAGATACATTCATTTTTTTTTGTAAAATGTTATGAAATCCTTCTATAGTTACCTCGAGAAGTGCGTGAAATTTCAAGAGTTGTCTGTACAATTTCTAAACCGCAAGAGAGATGATCTTATTATATGCATTCATCATGAAAAGTCGACCACCTTTTTTTAAAATACATTTCATCCATTTTTTTTCCTTAATTAACAAGTTATTTATTCAAAGTAAGGTATCTTCCCAGCAAGAGCAACCCCAAATGTCTCACAAATCACAGGTATTACTTATATTCGGGAGATATTAATGAAAGTCAAATCTTTGACGTTTACGTCTATAACTCATTCTAAATTTAACCCTTGAACTACTCATGCGAGTTGAGTTACATCCATTTTAATAACAGCTAAGGGTATCAAAATTGGTGTTATTCTTGCAAGTGAAGGTAGATAGTTACTAAAATGAGCAGATCTCTCTCTCATCAGTGAATTCACCCACTGCCCACGATGGGCACCAACCCAGCATCCTACACTCCCAAACCAGAACAAAATGAATCCACCGGTTCTCCGGCGGACTACCGGCGACCGTCGAAGGGTCTCGTCGGTATCTTCCTCTCCGGACTCTTTATGTCTTCTTTTGTATATCTGATCGTCAATCAAGGGTCAGAACCCCAGTCAGAAGTCAATGCCCATCAGCAGAAGTCTTCGCCTTCAAAATCGGTTTCACCCGTTACTTTGAAACCTCCATCGAGAGGGGAATCTGAGGGTGTATCAGAAGAGACTTTCCGGGAGATTAGCGGCGAAACTGAGGACTATCCTTGGACCAATTCTATGTTGTCTTGGCAAAGAACATCTTACCATTTTCAACCTGTAAAGAACTGGATGAATGGTAACTGGCATAGTTTAGCACTTTAGCTGTTTCTAAATTTTCAAACCTTAGTGCATAAGAATATGGTCCTTTTGGCCACCGTAGTCTTAACCTAAGAATATATATCCATTATACACACACCTTCATCTGACCTTTTCTGTTGATTCTCATGGCTGCTTTGCGGGGGAAACCTGGTGGCTTCTGCTTCAGATCCTAGTGGTATGTTGTTGTATAATCCCTATCTGCATCATGTTCTTTAATCTCTATCGAATCCAATAATTGATTTGTAGTTTTTTTCAAAATGTTCAAGAGTTTGTGATCACCATTCCTAATAATATTGTTTGTGCACGAGAACGAGCCAAAATAAAAACAAAAAAAAATTAGAGTGGACATATTAGTATTTTTTACTTTTTTTTAATGGATTATAAAAGTTCCTAAATTTATATTTATTGAAATTATATTTAATATTTAAAAATTTATTTAAGCATAAAAAATTAAAAATCGATATACATAGTATGAACATATAAAAATAATTAAAATTTCTTATCAAAAATGAAACTAATTATTATTACTCTAATGTGTTTTTATCATTTGAAAGAATTACAAATCACGATAAAACAAATAATTACAAATAAGTGCTATGGACAAATATTTGGTTATATATATTATTCGTGGTAGTTATCTTTCATTTTTTTTTTTTTTTTGATAATAATAATCTTCTATTTAATCTGAGACTAATATTTCATGTTTTGTAGGTCCATTGTTCCATATGGGGTGGTACCATCTTTTTTACCAATATAACCCTGACTCTGCCGTTTGGAGCAACATCACATGGGGCCATGCTGTATCAAGGGATCTAATTCATTGGCTCCACCTTCCCTTGGCGATGGTTCGTGATAGCTGGTTCGATTTCAATGGTGTATGGACCGGGTCCGCCACAATCCTTCCTCATGGTCAGATCATCATGTTGTACACTGGGTCCACCAATGATTTTGTGCAGGTGCAAAATCTTGCGTACCCTTCCAACGTGTCCGATCCTCTTCTCCTTGATTGGGTCAAGTACCCTGGTAACCCGGTGATGGCGCCTCCATCGGGCATTGCTGATGATGACTTTCGTGACCCGACCACAGCATGGCTCGGCCTGGATGGTAAGTGGCGGATCACAGTCGGGTCAAAGGTTAATAAGGATGGAATGGCGTTTGTTTACAAAACAACAGACTTCATAAGCTACGAGCTGGCGGATCAGAGTCTGTATGCGATTCCAGGCACGGGTATGTGGGAGTGTGTCGACTTTTACCCGGTTTCTACTACTGAGCCAAACGGGTTGGACACATCTTAAAATGGGCCGGGCATTAAGCATGTTCTGAAAGCTAGTTTACAAGATTATGCGCATGATTATTATGTACTCGGGACCTATGATCCGATAACGGACACATGGACCCCCGACAACCCGGATTTGGATGTGGGTTTCAGGTTTCGGGTCGATTATGGAAAATACTATGCATCAAAGACGTTTTATGACCAATATAAGAAGAGGAGGATCCTGTGGGCATGGATTGGAGAAACCGATAGTGAAGATATTGACATCGCGAAGGGCTGGGCCTCTGTTCTGGTATCTATTTTCATCTTTACAAATCTCAGTCTTATTATACTAAAGTTGCAAATTGTTACTTCTATCATGGATGAATAGTAGGCTATCTATAGTGTTGGTCGAAACAGATTCATGTTAAAAAATGCTACACACATACCTGAATCGTTTACCAATTTGTGTCTAACAAATTATGTCATATCGAGTTCTTGTCGTGTTTGAATCGAATATAATTAGTATATNTTGAAACAGATTCATGTTAAAAAATGCTACACACATACCTGAATCGTTTATCAATTTGTGTCTAAAAAATTATGTCATATCGAGTTCTTGTCGTGTTTGAATCGAATATAATTGGTATATAAACGAGTCGTGTTTTTATTCTGATTGGCTTCACTTATATCTAATTTGTTTATTAAACATAGGGGTGTCCATGGGTCGGATTACCCACAGATCCCGTTACCCGGCCCAAAAAAATAAGCTCAAAGCTCGATAGACCCTATAGTAGGTCCGCTCGAGTCTGAGCCCGATATCCTTAAAAAAAAGGCTTGAATTTGCCCCAAACCCATTATCCGATCTGAAGCCCGGCCCAAGAGGCCGCCCGTCAAGCCTAGCCCACCTACCCACCCACCCTTCATTTGAAAAAAATTATATTTTTATATCATTAAATTTAAAATTTTAAAATAAATCTTTCAATATCGAAATTTGAAGTTTTAAAAATTTAGATATTATAAATAATGTATTATTTTTTTTTCCATATATTAAACATATAAGTTTAAATTGTAGAATAATGCAGATGACAAATAAATTAGTAAATGTCAACTTAGTTGGGATTTATTCATTTTATTGAATATAGTTCATCATTTTATTTTTATCCATTTTGCCTTTACTTTTGATTCAAAAATATAATTACACAAATATTAAGTTATAAAAATATTAATTATTTTTAAATAAAAATGCATATAAAAAAGTCCGTAAACAAGGCCGCTCAATAGATTCACGGGTTGGGCTGCTGGTAGCCTACCCCTATCCGAAGCCCGACCCGCCTAGCCCAATAACTCACTTGAGTAAGGGTTTAGGCCTATACTACCTAAACCCGCCCCCAAAAAAATTTCACGAGTTTAGCCTGACCCGGCCCATAGATACCCCTAATTAAACATGTTGTGTCATATCCATTCGCTTATTAAACAAATGACTTAAGTAAGACCCAAATTCTTTAATTTCGTCTTATGTTAACGGGTCATATTATATTTTGACACCTTTAATGAATACCCGTCAGCTCAAATTTAAGTTTGAGGTTAAAGTTTTGTTGAGTTTAGTTGAAATTTCATATACCCAAAACAGTTTCAAAGAAAAATATGAGAAAATCTATCTCTAATATTTTATTATTGCCAATCAAAAATAAGGGTTCCTTTCCAATCCATGTGATTTCCTTTTTAAAACATTTTCAATAAGGTTTTGTAGTTTAGTTATTCAAAAATGCACTTTTTCTATTTTAGATCCTCACTTTTTTAGTTCATACTCCAATAGATTTTTGATATTTTAACTAATTCTTTAATATATAATTTCTCATATCTTGTACCTTTGTTGGGACAATTAAAGAGAGAGAGAAAAAAATGAAGGGAAGGACAAAGAGTGGGCAAGAGAGGTGAGAAATGATAAGAGGAAAGAGAATATATTATAAATTATTTATACATAATGTTATAGTGATACTTTACATATATAGAGCATCAAGCAATAATGTATTTTACCTACTCATAACATATTTTTTTGGAATATGTTTTTTGTCTTTGAATAGCTAATTTTTAGCTATTTTGAAGTTTGAGTCATTCTCTTAGAAATGCTATTATATCATTGATCTTCCATCTCAACTTGATTTGGATGGTCCATGAGTGGATTAATAATCTAATGAATCCACAAGCAAAAAATTAATAATAATAATCCAATGAATCCTCTTGTAAAAGATGATCCAACAATCAAAGTTCATACCTTCAAATGTGTTAGCTGCTACCTGTTGGTTTTGCAATAATGTAAATGAACGAAATTGATGGGACTCTTCTGAAAAGCATACGATGAAGACACGTGTCCTCGGGGTTTTTAGAACAAAGTTGCTCGGGTTCGAGCACCATCGGCAAGGCGTCCTCTCCCCGAGGTACCTCTCATATAGGATCACATATTCGGTACATTATACAAAGACATGTGTCCTCGGTCACCATGTACCTCGGGAACACACCACCCCTTGGTCCCCGAGGTGAGCCTTTCCTCGGCACCGAGGGTCACTCCATCCTGGACGCTTCCTCTACTCCCGGATAAAGCTACTGACATACTGGACATCAGCCTATGCCAGTATGGGTTATTCATCATGACCTCTTCTTACACAAGTAATGTCAGAACGTGCTGGAATACCGACGTAACAGCCAATAAGGGATGGACGCGTGGCAAATAATGTCACATCCGAAGCAGACAAACCGCGTGCCGTTGCTGACACGCGACTTGGGAAAGCAAACAATTAATTGCACCCTTCTGTTGACGAGACCGCATTCAATGCGGTAAGGTTCGGATATGAAAGGCAATAAATGCTCCTATTACAGAGCATTTATTGCATCCTTCCCGACAGGAGCATATTGTACCGTCGGCGTCCCGACAGACTCAGCATTGATTGTTCGGGACCCCGAGCAATCAATTAGAGAAGACATTCCTCATCAAATGATTACACACGCTACCTGTGCCTGATGATTACCTACTGACCACACTGACAGCAATCATGATCTTCTAAGGTATAAATACCCCTCCCAAAAGACAAAGCGGGTATGCAATCACAAACTCTC